AAGAGACATCCAGACTTCCCCAAAAGGCCCTTGACTCCTTACATCCGATTTTACAAGGAGCAGAGGGTCAGTTACTCCCAAATGCATCTTGGGATAAGCAATCAGGAGCTGACCAAGCACCTAGCTGAGAAATACAGGCAGCTCCCACAGGAGGAAAAGCAGAAATACGCTGAGGAGTACCGGAAGGAGAAACAGGAGTTTGAAGAGAAGCTGGCTCAGTTCAAGAGAAACCACCCTGGCCTGGTCCAGAACTCCAGAAAGGCCGGTGGTTCCAAGAGGCGCCAAACCAAAGCCCCAAAGAAGGTACAAGGAAACGTGGAAAGGGCGAGGTCTCCGCGCGGGACGGAGGCATTTGGCGAGAATGTGACATTGCGTGAAGAGCCCAAGAAGCCCCCCATGACTGGATATCACAAGTTCCACGAAGACTGGTGGTCAAGCGAGGAGCTAAAGCATCTGCCCCCGAGGGAGCGCTGGGTGGAGATGAGCAGGCGCTGGCACCTTGTGCCTCCGGTCTTGAAAGAACATTATTCGAGGCAGGCCGAGGGGCTACAGAAACAGTACTGGGTGGATCTGGATCTCTGGCTCCAGAGCCTGTCGCCTCAGGAGTACGCTGCCTACAGAAAGAGAAGCTACGGCAAAGGGAAGATCGTGACCACGGCAGGAGACCCAAACCCCAGGTTCGCAAAAGCAGACAGGCTGCCCTCACCAGCCAGGCGTCTGCCGGAAGCACCGCGGGGAGGAGAAGGCGCACAAGGCTGGAAGGATGGCTCCCTCGGAGAAGGCGCCCAGCAGCCACCATCACCAGCAGGGCTCATCACCGCAGCGAAGGGAATCCCGGAGGAGGAGGCAGGAGGCAGCTCCTGGGACTCCAGCAGTGGGGATGAGCGTGACGATGGGGGCTCGTCCTCCTCAGGGGAGTCCTCAGCCATGGACGTCATCTGAGCCCGGCTCGCACCCGACATTGTTAGCGACAACCCCCACCCCACCCCCTCCAAGGCCGGGACCTGCGTGTCACAGGC